AGTGTCCTCCAAACTGAGAAGGCACTTTGAGACCAAAAAATGAAGCAAGCCACTCCATACTATTTATACAGTTTTACTGATCTGGAGATTGGGTGAATGATGATCCAGGTGTTTCACAGCTCTTCTCTGCAATGTCAGGACCTTAATCCACAGATTTTATAGAGCAAGGAGATGTGCAGAGATCATCATGGGGTCAGAGTATTTAACAGATCATCTATGCACCAGAATGTGGGAGGGGAAGAAACAACGATATCTCTACCAGTTGTCCAAACATCTTTAGGGAAGATCTGAACAAACCTGCCTGTATTTTGGTCAGGGGATACATTAACCTTCAAGGGGCCTGGAACAAATAGCCCTGAAGGAAATCATTGCAGAGACATTAACAAGATGAAGGACCAAAGAGTAGAATCAGTATTACCTGCACTCCTACACCTATACAAAATGATAGTTGAGATGCTTTGGTACATTGTAGAAGGGAGATTGATTGAAATGTTAGAGTCTATTTGTCATGTAACACTGCTCACTCACCTCAGAAGGGTATAGAGGACACACCTTCCACTATGACTGCAAGAAATAAATTTGTGGGATCCCTGGGTGGCGCAGTGGTTTGGCGCCTGCCTTTGGCCCAGGGCGCGATCCTGGAGACCCAGGATCGAATCCCACATCGGGCTCCCGGTGCATGGAGCCTGCTTCTCCCTCTGCCTGTGTCTCTGCCTCTCTCTCTCTCTCTGTGACTATCATAAATGAATAAAAAAAAATAATAATAAAAGAAATAAATTTGTGAGGGAAGTCCCAATATCCTTGAAAAGTTCTGTGGTCACTCTCCTCTACAGATGAGAGATTACAGTGGAAACTGCTGTCATTGTTGACATGGGATTCTTGTTTTTTTTGACATGGGATCCTTAAATGCAATGGGAATAACTGGATTCTGGGGGGCAGGAGCCAAATGGTGGCAATTTAATAACCAAAGATAAGGTGGATATAGAGGCTGATTTTAGGCAACATGCATGAGCAATGGAAACCTGCAAGGCAGAAGGGCCCACAGGAACTACCAAGTTGATGCAAACTGGCTCATTAAATGACCTAGACCCACCCTGACATAGCCATAGGCCTTAACTAACCAATGAGCTACTTACAACCAGGCACAGGTACCAAAAAAGGGAAAATTCCATACATTCCCATACTTCCCCACTATACACCATAACTATAGCCCCTCACCACAGCCCTGTGGCAGTCTCTCCTTTGCTGCTCTGCCTGCTGCTCCGTTGCAGTGTATTCAGTAACTTCTATCTCCTTTGTTCTGCCTCAGGTGACCTCTGTCACCACCACAGCTGCCAGTCCTTACTCAATTAGAACACGCCACAGTGGACATGGTTACTACAGTCGACAGCAGTCAATGCAGTAGTCTAGTCTGACTTGCAAAACCCTATGGCATTGGCTAGCTGATCATGTTGTCCCTAGGAGAGAAGTAGATGGGCTGGCTACTAAATTCTTACTTGATCTACATAAGCCGAAGAGTTCTAGGTCAAGCAGAAGTCTAACTTGAATTAAAAAAAAAAAAAAGTAAATATACTTTGGAGATGGTGAAGGAAATATGTGCACCAAATGGCAGTTTCCTAATTATAGTTTTCCCTTCTTTGTGGGTAATAGATTCCCAGCCCCCCCAGTGGATGTCTGAAACTTCTATACATGTTTTACCCTTGAACAGAGGTTTGAACTGTGCAGGCTCACTTCTTTTTTTTATAGTGTAGTTTTAATGAGTTAAACATAAAGCTACTCCCACATGCTCTTACATGTTTACAAACCCTTTTATCTAAATGAAAATGTCACTTGAAAGATGGATTATACAAAGTGTAGTTTCAATCAGTTATGCAGACGTATTCCAATATGCTTTCCTTTTTCTTTTTTTTTTTTTTTTAAGATTTATTTTTGAAAGAGAATGTGAGCTGGGGGAGGTGAAGAATCCTCAGACTTTCAACAGACTCTCTTGAGTGGAGTCTGAGGAGTGGCTTGATCCCAGGACCCTGAGATCATAACCTGAGCTGAAACCAAGTTGGCTGCCCAACCAACGGAGCCACCCAGGTGCCCAGCTCTATGCTTCTACACTAAGTTTACATAAATTTATACCTCAAAAATATTATTTGAAAGTTACAGGGTAGCATCAAGGTTTAAGCATATGGCTTATCTCCTATGTGTAGGCTCACTTTTATGTGGATTTTTCCTTAAGAATTTAACATTCTCTATTGTAAAAATACAGTACATAATATGTAGAACATACAAAACACGTTCATTGGCTATGTTATTAGTAAGGTTTCTGGTCAACAGTAGGCTATTAAGATTTTAGAGAATAAAGTTATATAGAATTCAAATGCGTGAGGTGGGGGTGAAGTTGGCATCCCTAAAGCCCACATTATCCAAAGGTCAACTGTACTGTTTTTTCCTATACATACATGATTAAAATTTAATTTGTAAATTAGGCACAGGATAAGGTTAACAGTAAAATAGAATGGTTATAAAAATAAACTATAAGGGAGCCTGGGTGGTTCAGCAGGTTAAGCATCTGACTTGGTTTTGGCTCAGGTCATGAGATTTGAGCTTCACATCAGGCTCTGTGCTCAGTGGGGAGTCCGCTTAAAGATTCTCTCCCTTTGCCCCTCGCTCCACTCTCTGAAAATGGATAATCTTTAAAAAATAATATACAGTAATAAAAGTTATGTGAATGTGGTCTCTCTCAAAAGGTCTTCTAGTACTCATTCTTCTTGTGAAGGAAGATAGTATAGTGCTTATGTGATGAGATGAAGGGGAAGGATGGGCATTGTGATGTAGCATTAGGCTACTGACCTGCTCATTTGTCAAAAGGATCATTTGCTTCTGTACTACTATTGCCTGAAACCGGAACAAGTGAAAAATACAGTGCAAAATGGGGAGGGGGACTACTGTACTGAGCATTTTCCCTCCCCTAATAACATGCCAAAGTGACATAGCTATAAACCCACATGAGGGAATTCCTTCCTCATAACTTGCCTAATTGTCTTACCTTTCCTTACTTCCTTTGGAATATAACTAAGATAAGGAACCATTTGGATGTCTGGACTATAAGAAATACTGGTAGCCTACTCTTCAGATTATAGTGATAACATTTGTTTCCAGCTCTTTATTTCAAGTCTAATGGCTCCTTTGAAATTCTTTTAAATGATAGTTGTAGTTTGGTACTTCATGACATAAAGTTTAAAGAAAACATCAGTTTAGACACATGAGGAGTCCTTTGCTTTGACAGACTTGAACCTTTTTTTAAATCTATTTTTAAAAAAATTTAAAAAAATTTTTATTTATGATAGAGAGATATTTATATTTTTTATTTATGATAGAGAGAGAGAGAGAGAGAGAGAGAGAGAGAGAGACAGAGAGAGGCAGAGACACAGGCAGAGGGAGAAGCAGGCTCCATGCACCGGGAGCCCGACGTGGGATTCGATCCGGGGTCTCCAGGATCGCACCCTGGGCCAAAGGCAGGCGCCAAACTGCTGCGCCACCCAGGGATCCCAACCTTTTTTTTTTAAAAGGAAAAAGCCATCACACTTTTTTCCAGTTTAGCACCCAAATGTTTCCTTATTTTGAGTTATTCCAGGATAATCTGTGAAGAGCAGTTAGCCTACTATTGCAAGATGAAGGAGTCCCTTCTCAGAGAAAACTTATGACTGAATGTGGGTGATTGTATTTTCTGAAAATGGCCATGGAAAAGGATACTGAAGGTTTTGGGGAATAAAAGGTTCCAGGTGTCCTCCATCTCATTCCCTTCTTAATGGATTATGGCTAGATTAAATATTTCACCAATTTATTTGTTATATTTTCTTACTTATGAAGAGCATGAAATTTTTAAGCACATGTATACAGGCAAAGATCTTTAACTTGCAGAATGTAGTGTATTTTGACATTTTTCCTCCTACATGTCTCCTGCAGAACAAGAATCATCCATAATCCACCCAAGCGTTTGGCATATTTCCTTTCCATCTTTTAAATATACAAATATATTGTCTCATTTGTATTTACTGCCTGTGCAACCATAGGCTTAGGCTGTTTTGATCCCTTCAAAGGTTTTTTTATTTTTTTTTAAAGATTTTATTTATTTATTCATGAGAGACACACAGAGAGAGGCAGAGACAGGCAGAGGGAGAAGCAGGGAGCCGGACATGGGGCTCGATCCCAGGTCTCCAGGATCATGCCCTGGGCGGAAGGCGGCGCTAAACCACTGAGCCACCGAGCCACCGGGACTGCCGCCAAGTCTTTTTTTAATTCAAAGATTAGCTAAGCCCAGGTTTGGCCTAGTGATCACTCATCCAGCTTGCTAGGCCGGGACTATTTCTGTAGTCTGTGCTCATCTCTTGTGGATCTTTAACACATTTCTCCAGTTCTTACCAAGTATCTGAGACTTGTTCATCATAGCCATTAAATTTACTTTTGCTAACATTAGGTAACAAAACTTCTCCTAGAAGAGTAATGTGGAAAGCCAACAGACTTGGCAGAACAAAGATAATACAGACTTGGGAACCTAGAATCTGGTCCTCTTTCAGCTGCAATGTAGTCACATGATCTTCACCAGCAATTCAAAGAGATTGCTTCAGTAACTAACTGGCTCTGAGGCTTTTATTCCATGACCTTGTTAGATTTTAACCATTTTGAGTCAAGAGGATCTCCTTTTCTAGTATGTAAAGCCTAAGAATCTGTATGTTTATTCACTTTCCTAAAGAGTGAATTGTTAAAAACTATTAAAACTTTATTAAAACAACTTACCTTTGTCCTTAGAGACTGTCATATTTTGTCAGATTCAAGGGTTGGCTCAACATAGCCAATGGGCAGCTGACATATTTATAACTAGAAGATGCTGAGGGCCAACCCAGTGTCCTCCTAATTCAGCATTGGTATATTCAGTTGTCTTTATTGCCCAATTATATTTCCCGACTACACAAAAAGTTAATGCATTGGAAGCAGAGAAGTTCCACCTCTACATATTGAATTAAAATTTATTTCAAAAGGCAAAGTTTTATATATCTTTTGAAAAAATGAGAAGTCAAAAGTCTTAGAATTAAGTAATGAGTCTTCAACGTTATAAAGCCATATATAACAGTAATTAAAGTAGTGGTAATGTTTTACCCTGATAAAAATGTCACAGAATTCAAATCACAACTTGGATCCTCAATGATTCAAGTGTCTTATCTTACACAATAAGAGTTTGGGCAGCTTTAAGATAAAATTCCTCCAGATATGCTGCCTTCAAGTCCTCTAATCTTGCGATCCATCAGCTCACACAGTGGGATAGCTGGCTGCTGTGGCAATTCCACAGTGGTTGTTCTGGTCTTTGGCCATTTTTACATAGCCATTCCAGCCCCATTCTGGACCCCAACTGAAAAGAAGAGCATATTTTTTCTTTTATGCAAAGAATTAAGTACACACTAACTTCATTAATAATAATAGCTAATACTTAAGGCTTTCCACTTACCAGGCACTATTCTAAGTGCTGTTACATAAGTATATTAATTACCATAGGTCCTTAACTTTTTAAGACAGGAAACTGAGGCAAAGCTAGAATTCCAATGTAGCAGTCTGTTTCTCTGCAGGCTATCTTAGCCCTCATCTCAATTAATTGATCCTGACAATCCTCAAAGCCTTGGAGAGTTGGGAAATAGAATAAAATGGCAGGGTAAGTGGTAACAGGAAGGACGCACAAAGTCCACTGGACTCTTGGAAAATCTTTTGGACTTAAGAGTCAGCAGTGGTTTCTGCTCAGTATACCTTGTTGAAAAACTGGGACACAGAAAAAAGGAAAACCAGCCCTTAAACCTACAGGTGCAAAATCCTTTATCTCAAACTCTTAGGGCCAGATAGGTTTCTGGATAAAAACAATTTCATATAAAAAAAAAAAAAAACCAATTTCGTAATTTAGAAATGCAGTGTTACAAATACATAGTAATTATTACAACAGGCTTGCTAAAGAGTCTTGTAATCAAGTATCAGTAAGTTTTACCTTTATAAAAATGTCAGTGTTCACGCTAAGTGGGAGAAAGACTTCTGGGATTTCGAAAGTAAGCTTTTTTTGGGACTTGAAATCAAAAACGGATTCCAAACAAGCATTCCCTTTCAATTTAATATATACAGCATTTCGAGTTTTATACCTGTTCTTGACAATCCAAAATTTATTATTTGAATCTGTTCCTTCAAAGCCATAGCCAACCACCAGAACACCATGATCTAGATCTTTGCTGCTGCAGTCTGGATCAAAATAAATGCCTAGAAGAGTAAAATTTGATGTCAGGGTAAGAAGCTCCAGGGAACACATGACATTAACTCACTCTACTACAGTTAAGAAAGACATCTCAAAATGCAATTAAATGTCATCAACGAACTCCAAATAAAGTCAAGTATTTACCAAAAGATTGTTATGGCTCATAAAAAGGAAAAAAAGCCAAACTCAACTCACTAGAAATCAACACAATTCGGTTAAATCAAAGATATTTTCTATCTATCTATCTATCTATCTATCTATCTATCATCTATCTATTTATTTAAAAAGATTTTATTTATTCATGAGACACACACACACACACACACACACACACACACACAGATGTGTCCCTATTTTCTCCTTAAAAAAAAAAAAAAGATTTCCAATAATAAGATCTAGTTATCGGGGCACGCCTGGGTGGCTCAGTAGTTGAGCATCTTACCTTTGGCTCAGGGTATGATCCGGTAGTCCTGGGATCCAGCCCTACATCGGGCTCCCTGCTTCTCCCTCTGCCTGTCTCTGCCTCTCTCTCTGTGTCTCTCATGAATAAATAAATAAAATCTTAAAAAAAAAATCTAGTTATCAAGGCTAAGGTTATTTAGCCACTTCCATTATTTAGCATAATCCTTTATATTCGTAAAAGGAAACGCCAGTGTTTATATTCTATAGTAAACATTTTTTGTAAAAGATATCCAACAATTGGGCAATAGTTACATCAATTGTTTATATTTACAGAATTACTTTAAAATCAGAAAAAAGGGCAGCCCAGGTGGCTCAGTGGTTTAGCACTGCCTTCAGCCTAGGGTGTGATCCTGGAGACTTGGGATCGAGTCCCAAGTCGGGCTCCCAGCATGGAACCTGCTTCTCCCTCTGCCTGTATCTGTGCTTCTCTCTCTGTGTCTCTCATGAATAAATAAAATCTAAATAAATAAATAAATAAATAAATAAATAAATAAATAAATAAATAAAGTAAAATTAGAATTTGTCATGAAAAAATGCCTAAAGCATGTCAAGTGGAAACATCACTATATTAAATGCACACTCAAAATTCTACTGGCTTAGAAAGCAGGACTCCAAACCAAAGTCAATCACGGTGTTTTCCAATTTTGCCTACCTGAATTTCCACAGTAAAAATACAAATACCCACCTGATTTGTAGAATTGGAAAGACTGATGGCCTGCATCAATAGCAACAGAGATGGGCCCTAGAGTTGCCACTGCTTTCATTAGGGCCTTCTCCCGTTGAGGGAGGTCCACAAAGCCAGTGTCATTGGCAGCAGAACACTCAGGCTTGTAGTTGCAGGTCTCTGTGTCCTTTTAAAGGTAAATGGAAAAGAACGGTGATCACTACCATCCAACTCCTGGGGAACAGGAGTTCTAGGACCTCAACTCAGCAGTTTGTAGCTTAATGATTTCCAAGTTGACTCTGTTGTCAGTCAACAGCAAAATGCTACTGGTTGATTTGAAATTGAAAAATTAGCAGATGTTTCTTCAGTGAAACCCTTAGGCCTACTTGTCCACAAGAAACTTCACTGTGGAGAAACTTGCATTATGTGCAGAATAGTGTATAAACTCTCCAAGTTACACATAGAAGTAAGAACAGCTATATGCCAACCATCTATTCAGAGAATTTATGCAAAGGCTGATAATTTATATGGACAGTTCTGTCAGTTTGCATCTAAACTGTGAATGCTTAATAAAATGTCATCTTTCAAAATGTTCAACTTTCAAAAGCAGAGCTTGAATAACAAGATAAGGAGTCCCATTTACCCTTCCAAGATATGGATAAGATTCCTCTGAGTCCAGGCCTCCATTGTCCTTAACATACCGGAAGGCGTTATCCATGAGGCCACCATTGCAGCCCTCGTTACCTTGAGCCCTAGAGCAGTCCACCAGGTTTTGCTCACTCAGTGGCACAAGTTTGCCCGTTTTCCGGAACATCTGTCCTTCAAGGGCCCCAGTTGCACTAAAAGCCCAACAAGAACCACACTGACCCTGAAAATAAAAAAGTTACCAGTTTACAATACAAACAATAGCTCATATACTTGAATACTCTTAAAACAAAAGAGCAAACTGATGGTACTCCACAGTCTACCAAAGCAAGGACACTAATTCCTTTTTGGCTCTACTCCTGGAGGGAGATCTGCTAAATATTATCATACCTGATTCTTCACAGGAGTTACATAGCCTTTCTCTCTCCAGTCCACTGATTTGGGGATCTCAGCAAAGAGAGGTTCTTGGAACATTTTCCCTTTCTTGTGCTTCTGCTTTTGAAAGCCATTCATCACCTGCCTGAATTCTTCATTGGTCTTTATGGAAAAGTAAATTAGATGTTGAAAAAGCAAGAGGTTATTTTGCTCAAGTACAGAGAGGAAGCACAAAACATTCAGCAATCTATGCCACACTCACCATGTCACCAAAGGCATTCATTGCCATTGTGAAGCCATGTTTCCCTTGGCTATATTCCCGATTATGCAGTTCAATCATTTTCATATTCTTCTCCCATACTGCTCTCCTCCATCCTTCTTCATTCTAGAGGTAAATATATAACTTATCTTTATTTCTACTTAAAACCCAGCCCATCCTCACCATGGGGATTTACAGACAGGGAGAAAAACGAGAAAAAACCATGGCGAGGGATGGCTTTATGCTTCTGGGAGCTGTTCAACAACCATACAACAGGAATTATGCCTATATCGTGCTCAGTAACAGGTGCCATGAAGTTATTGCCTTGGTAAAAGCTAACTTCTAGATGCTACTCTCTAGCTATAAATTCCCAACGGCAAGGGCCTTTCTCTTGGGGTCCCTCTGGACAGTTTCATGTCACTAACCATGCCATATAATCTCCTGTGCGTTGCCTTCCACTGGTACCACTGTGCATTTAAGCTTTGATCAAATTTTGGAGCTGCTGAGGCTATTCCCAAGCAAAGGGCAGTCAAGACGAGTGAAGGATTCATGTTTCAAAAACCTAATAAGGAAAACAAAACGAATATTTGAGGACTGATCCTTTAAAAAAGTCATCCTATTTTGTCCTGAGATGTTAAAGCAAAAACACTTAAAAACCATTTTCCCAAATATTTACAGGTCTGTGGAAGAAGGCTATGGATGTGGGTGGAGAAAAACAGGCCAAGGGCTTAAACAGAGGAACTATATATGACTCAGCCTTCAACTGAAAAACAGGCTGACAAGTGCTGTAGGAATTGAAATAGACTCCATTGTAATAGTGCAATGACAATTTAGGTTTTGATAGAGGTCTCAGAATCTTAAGACAACTCAGAAACTGTTGGTCCAAGTTATTTACTGAAAATACCGAGGTGACCCAGGAAATCTTATCAGGACACTTGTTCCCAAGTAGGGACAGGGATCCCCCAGGACTCAAGCAGCCCGTCACACCTTCCTTCCCAACTAACGTACAGCATGAGGTGAGACATGCCTTCGGACCTCTATTTCTTGAATTGAAACCTTTCTGAAAGGCATTCCCAGAAGGCAGACAGGAGTGCACGCGGTGCCCCCACCTCTGGCCTCGGCCGCCAACACCTCTCCGGTCCCCCAAATCAAGGACGTGCCCCGAGGCACGACGGAGTCCAGAGCTGCCAGTTCCCGACCCGCACAAAAGCGGCGCGGCAGGCGGGGCTGGGCCAGGGGGTCTCCGCCCCGCTCACCGCCCTCCGCTCGGGGAGGATGTTGACGGACGACCGCACAGGGCGCCGGGCCCCGCAGCCTGTGCCGCGGTCAGGCTGCCGCGAGCTCCCAGCTACCGCACCTGTGTCCGCCACGGCCCAGAGGCGCTCCGGTTCCCGCGCAGCCTAGGGCCTCCTGGTGGTCTCAGCGCCGCCCTGGGTTCCCCCAACCGCTCAACCCGCACTTCCCACCTCCAGGCTTACAGGATCCCGGCAGCGTCGACTTAGCCTCATCAACTCCAGGTAAGCAGATACTCGTACCCAGCGGGTCGCACCCGCCCCTCGCCCGAGCCCCGGGGTGGACCCCCGCTCCAGTCCCGGTGCCCGACGCGCTGGTTCCCACACCGAGACGCTGACCTGCGGCGCCCACAGCTACGCAGGCGAACCCCGCCGATCGCCAAGGCCCAGGAGTCTGGCCCAATTGCGCCTGACTCAGCCTTTAAGCTCCGGGAATTCGGCCTTCTCGGGCCCGCCCCCGCCGCCTGCCCGCGCGGCGATTGGCTGCGCCGACTTGTGGGCGGGGCCTCCGGGCGTGGGGCTTCCAGCGCGTGACGCAGCGCGGTCTGGACAGGTCCCGAGGCGGCTGGGGCCGGCGTCAGGGGGGTGGAGTATAGCGCCGGGAGGGGTGGGGGCGGGCTGTAGGGGTGGGATCCCGAGCCAGTGTGGGGGGCCCCGATGACGTCATGACCTCGAGGTCAGCCAAGGGCCTGCTTCAGGGGGGCCAGGGATAGCGCCGAGGGGGCGAGGCAGGGTGGGCGGGGGGGTGGTGTCCAGGGGCCAGCCTGGGGACCTAGATGGCGTCATGACCCCAACTCACGAGATCGGTGGGGGAGGTCGTTCTCGAAAGGAAGCTCACCAGCATCCCCCTGCGTGTCCTTTAGTCCTACAGTCTTCGGTTAAAATCTCCTGGAAGGCTGAGAACAGGATAGTCTGTCTAGTGGTTCCTGTTTATTCCAAGCAAAGCTGGGGCGGGTGGAGGATGGGGGATGCGGTGCCTCTCGGTTTGGGAAGAATCTGGAGGGGACTGGAAATCCCCCAAATACGGATGCGATAGTCAAGACCTAAATCCTTGGAAAGCGAAGGGACAGACTGGGTAGGTGTACACAAAGGCCTGGTATTTCGTAATGCTTCGCTCCTGTGTCTCTGCCTTCTTCCGTCTCCAGCCTTTCTCAAAAACAATGAAACAAATTATTTACAGGAAAATTTGGTTCAATGAAAAACGCTGTTGAGAAAGGTGGAAACTTTTATTTCCCTACACTTTACATTAGAGGTTGTTTGGTCTTTCTCAGTATCCAAAGTACTTCTCTTGAGCTATAAGGAATATGCTTTCTAACACATTGTCAGGGTGCTTCTCCAATGATAACAAGCAGTGACTAACATATATATTGTATGTATTGTATTCTTATAGTAAGCTAGAAAAAAAATACGTTACTAGGAAAATCATAAGGAAGGGAAAATACATTTACAGTATTCTAATGCATTTATCAAAGGAATTTGGATGTAAGTGAATTCCACATTTCAAGCCTGTGTTGTTCGAGTGTTAGCTGTATGTAGAGATTTAAGGAAATCAACAGAAATTGGTGCATGTGAATTTGCTTCTACAAAAGTTATCAATTTAATTTTAACTAAGTACAAAGTCAGACAAATAGATATTTTTAAAAGTCAACTTATTGGGCAGCCCCGGTGGCTCAGCGGTTTAGCGCCGCCTTCAGCCCAGGGCTGGAGGCCCAGGATGGAGTCCCATGTCGGGCTCCCTACATGGAGCCTGCTTTTCCCTCTGCCTGTGTCTCTGCCTCTCTCTCTGTGTCTGTCATGAATAAATAAATAAAATCTTTAAAACAAAAAGTCAACTTGTTAAAAATTTCATTTTATGTCCTTGGAAAGTAGAATCCTTTCCCTCTCACACACAGCTAAGGGCCCCAAGTTTTCAGGTAGTTACAAAAATGTATTGCATATGGCTGGACTTTGATTTTGCTGTTTTATCCTTAAAAAAAAAAAGTAACAATGCTGGTCAGCACAAGCATCATACGCAAATAGAAATAAATGAAGACCACCCACGAAACAAAAAGACAATTCCAAAAAAGAAAAGAAAAAGGACACAATTTTAAAACAACCAGAGTGAGGAAAAGCTTTAATTATGTAAAAAGAGGGAGGCTTCTGTTGTCATGGGGAAGCTGGAGGACGAATAACTAGAAATGGAACTTCATTTATGTGGTTGGTTTGGGGGAGAATATTTGGATTTCTCTGGTTTGTCCTGGGTTGGAAGTGGAGGCAAAGATAAATTAATAGCCATTCAGCAAGTCCTGACTGTTCTGAGACAGTTGCCAGAGAGGTTTCTTTTGTGGGTCAGAGTTCTTTGTTATGTAAAGTCTGGCCATTGTTTGCTTGTTTACTCAGTCAATCACAAGAAATCTAAATTATTCTAGCACGTGGGTTTTATAGTTGCCCTGGGGTCACAGCTCCATAAGATTGCACAGGGTGGAAAAACCTGCTACTGTGTGAATGCCTGCACCTAGGTAATAGCCTGGCGGGAGGCTGGCTGACTGGCAGGTGCTGCTCCAAAGAATGGCATCGCCTCTGCTTGATGGAATGTGATACAAACTCAATAGAGGAGAAAATGGTGTCTATGCTCAAAACATAAGATTAAATCAAGAGATATATAAATTCAGGAGAAATATGGGAGAGTCATTTAAGCAAAAGAGTGGAAGATATTGCTCCATCCAACTCATGACATGTACTTCTACATAATCTGTTAAATAATGCATTACAGAAATGTGTATTACTAACCATTGTGTCCATTTTCTTCTTATTCCTTTGCAAAATAACTTAAATGGGTGCTAATATTAAAATTGTCACATTTTAGTCAAGCAGCCAAAATTTAGTTCTGCCTTTGATAAAATTTATTTATCAGGATTTCCCAGTTCCTATTTAAAATGCAGTCTCGGGCAGCCCGGGTGGCCCAGCAGTTTAGCACCGCCTTCAGCCTCAGGTGTGATCCTGGAGACCTGGGATCAAGTCCCATGTCAGGCTCCCTGAATGGAGCCTGTTTCCCCCTCTGCCTGTGTCTCTGCCTCTCTCTCTCTCTCTCTCTCTCCCTCTTTCTCTCTCTGTGTCTGTCATGAATAAATAAATAAAATCTTTAATAAAATAAAATAAAATGCAGTCTCTGTGAAAGTATATTCTCATGTGCATGTCTAGATTTCTTTTTTTTTTTTTTTTCATGTCTAGATTTCTTTTGCTCACCAGTAAAACAGGATATAATTCATCACCTCATCTCTGGAAGTTTTAAACCATGGGGCAGTGAACAAAATCTAGGGTAATGGTATTCAAGATCCTGGGGCCACTTAACATCTCTCCTCAATATAACAACTACTCCAATTTGTTTAAATTCAATGAGCCAAGACTTACTCTTAAAAACATTATCCAGACAACTGTCTATTTGTAAAATGGTTTATTATAATTTATAATTTTATGAAAAAGAGCCTGTTTATGGTTAGATGTTCATATGAAATCATGTATGAAATAATATATATTTTTTAGCTACTGTAAACATTAAACAACCAGCCAATTTGTTAAGTAAATCAATTAAGAATTAATTAAACTCTTACTTTGTGATCATTGTCGTCTCAGGGTATAGTTTGTTCATTTACTTAGACATGTTCTACATGTAACTTCCCTACTAGCTTTTTTTTTAATTTTTTTTTATTTATTTATGATAGTCACACACACACACACACAGAGAGAGAGAGAGAGAGAGAGAGAGAGAGAGAGAGAGAGGCAGAGACAGAAGCAGGCTCCATGCACCGGGAGCCCGATGTGGGATTCGATCCTGGGTCTCCAGGATTGCGCCCTGGGCCAAACGCAGGCGCCAAACCGCTGCGCCACCCAGGGATCCCCCTACTAGCTTTACTGAAGCTCAGCATTTCCATTTTAAAATCTGATATTGACACCTGGGTGGCTCAGAGGTTGAGCATCTGCCTTCGGTTCAGGTCCTGATCCCATGGTCCTGGGATAAAGTCCCACACTGGGCTCCCTGCAGGGAGCCTGCTTCTCCCTCTACCTGTGTCTCTGCCTCTCTTTGTGTCTCTCATGAATAAATAAAATCTTTAAAAAAAATAAAATCTGGACAGCCTAGGTGGCTCAGCAGTTTAGCGCCGCCTGCAGCCCAGGGTGTGATCCTGGAGACCCAATATCGAGTCCCATGTTGGGCTCCCTGCATGGGGCCTGCTTCTCCCTCTGCTTGTGTCTCTCTCTGTCTCTCTGTCTCTCTCTCTCTCGTCTCTTGTGAATAAATAAATAAATCTTTACAAAAATAATAAAATAAAATCTGATATCAACTACGGTAATCTTTTTTTTTTTAATTTTTATTTATTTATGATAGAGAGAGACAAAGGCAGAGACACAGGCAGAGGGAGAAGCAGGCTCCATGCACCGGGAGCCCGACGTGGGATTCGATCCCGGGTCTCCAGGATCGCGCCCTGGGCCAAAGGCAGGCGCCAAACCTCTGCGCCACCCAGGGATCCCCAACTATGGTAATCTTGATTTTACAGCATATGAACACAGCCATTACCAGTATCATTTAAATGAAATTACGGCAAAGTGTCTTGATATAGAAGGTAACAAAGGTGCTGACCTTGTGGGATTTTTCCCACTGTCAAGACTATAATCCACAAACTCTCCTTTGGCTGCCAGAGGATCTCTTCCTCAAATCTGAAAAAAAGTCTTTTCATGAAACAAGAAGTATCAGTTTCTTATGACTACTATAACACATTTCCACAATGGGTTAAAAGAACAGGATTTTGTTCTCTCACAGTTATGGAGGGCAGAAGTTCAAAATCTCATCACTTGGGCTGAAAACCAGTTGTCACAGAACAGTGCTCCCTCTGGAGGTCTAGGGAAAAACCTGTTCTATCCAGCTTCTGGTGGCTTCAGCCACTCCTTGGCTTGTGCACATCACCCCAATGTCTCCCTTTTCTTTTGTCTAAGTCAAATTTCCCTTCACTTCCCTCTTATAAGAACCCTTGTGATTGTACTTAGAGCCCATCCAGATAATCCAGGATATCTGTCCCTCTCAAAATCCTTAATCACATTTCGAAAATGTTTGCTAAGTAATATTTAAGATTCTAAGAATTAAGATCTGATATCTTTGGGGACCATTATTTAATCAACTACAACATGGCATAAATAAAAACTAGTTTCTTGAGAAGACTGATTGAAACTTTTTGTTTAACATTTTTAGGCTGGCTTGACTAGGACAGCTAGGCCCTAAACTCTGTGTGAACTTCCCACTCAGAAAATTTGCTCACGTCCCTGACTACAGACATTTCCTGCCTTGACTCTCCTGTTCGTGC